AAGGCACAGACTGCAAAAAAAATGAGACTGAGGGAGATGTTCTTAAGGTTGAACTACTGTGTTTATGCATCTGTTTCCCTCCTCTCTTTCCTTGTTTGTGCATTTCAAACTGTCTCTTGCCCCCAATAAAATGTTTGCTGGTGTTCCCAATTAGTCTTGCATTCTGCCTTGGTGCTTGCTAGATTCCATGTTCTCTGGATTTCACTCCATGATGATGTCTGCACGATTTGTGCAAACTGTACTTGCAGTTGTGCAGCGCTCTCTCTTCACCCTTTTCTGCAGAGATCCATACCTGAGAGTGATTAGGGGTGGCTCTACTGTTAGACAGAATGAGGCAGCCACCTCAAGAAGCACATTCGGGGCATTATGAAGGGGAGAGCCAATTTTGGCTATTTACAGTATTTGTTATTGTTTCGTTGTTGCTTTCAAGCACGGGAGAAATCTTACTGGATTTTCTGTCCTGTGTACTGTAATGACTTGTCTGGCTTTGGTTAGTATGCATCTTGATGTCTTAGGCATACCATTTTCTGTTCTGCTTCAGGTAAAATAGGCTGTCCCTGAAATCAGAAGCATCTGGCAGTCCTCAACACACTACCTGATACTGAAAGCTCCATCAGAGCTTGAAGGCCGTTCTTTTGGACTAGAATTCCCAGAAATCCCCAGCTAACATAACCAATTCCCACAGTCTTCTGGGAGTTGAGGTCTAAGAAATAATGTTCCCATGCCTTGATTCCATGTAGCCACTGTGGCAAATCAGGCTTATCCTCCACAAATTTGACTAATACCTCTTTAAAGGAATCTAAATTGGTAGCCAGTTGCCTGGATAACTTGATTAGTTGGTACCTGGCTGCAGAGCCTGAGGTTGGGAGCAACATTCCCTCTAATTGTCATCCCCACTGTGCAAGAGCGTTGCCTTTCTGCACATGTGGGGGAGGGGATCCAAAACCTTGAAGTAAACAGACATTGATCCAAGCTGCTACTACGTGGCGCCAATGAAGCTCTTGTGGGTCCATGTGCTCACACCTTAGAGGGAATGTTGGTTGGGAGTTAGATTCCCTACTGTGCCTCCTGGGAGAAACCCACTTTTGGTAGCCATGGGAAAGCTGCACAGTCCCAGGGCACTCTCAGAAGAAGGGAATGGTAAACCACTTCTGAGTACTGTCTGCCTAGAAAAAGGGTCACCATAAGTTTGAATCTACTTGACAGCACACAGTAATTATTATTAATATGATTAAGGCAGTTGCTTTTGCTACACGCAATGTTAGCAAATTCCATGTTTTAATACAAAAAGTTCTGTTGAAATGTTAGCCTACCCACCTGGCAAAAAGTCAGATCAAAATCATGACTATCTTACCATTGTGTTCAACCTGAAGAAAGTATAAAATAGAGGAAGGAGAAAGCTTGTGCTCTAGGAAATCCTGTCTTTTAGAATCATGTACGAAAATAGAAGGTTTGCAGAAGATGTATGTCCTATAAATGTGTCATGACAAGGGTTAAATTTAGTAGGTGGGAAAGTGTTTTGTAGCTGCTACCATGATGACCTCTACTGGAGAGAGTTTATGGCAAGTCCTGCTTCCAACAGCGAGCCGGGTTCTGTTCTGCCTGAGCTAAGTACAAGTCAGTTTGCTACCGCATTGTCCTAGTAATCAGGCATGCTCCTTTTATTAGATTGCTTCCACCTTGCCCTAAAAATAAATAAACATTGCTTTATATACAGAAGCCTGACTCTAATGCTAACTTGAACTGCAATGGTGTACAGTCAGAGACTTCAAGCAGGGAATTCTCATGTAGTGAATAATGACCAAAAGTCAGACTTGTTGGCAAAAACAGTTATTTCTCATGAAGCCAAATTCTTGGTAACTCTATTACTGGCAAGGTGAACCCAACTGACTTTTTGGCTTTCCAAAAGACTCAACATATCTTATTTTTTTCAGAGGAATTTTTCATTCTTTCAATTCAATACAAAGACTGAGACTGATCAAGTATGTGCCCTGGTGTTCATCAGCTCATAATGCAATTAGCTGTTTGGAAAATGTGTACTTTTCTTGGACTATCTCTTTTATAATCAGTTGCTTGGGAAAACCAGTTGCTACTGGGTATGTTGGCTGGGGGATTCATGGAACTGTAGTCCAAAACAAAGGAATTTTTCTAAGCTCTAATTGGACAGCAGCATCAAGAGGAGAAACCAAGGGAAAGCCCAGTTTATATTCCAGGCAATAAATGGAAAGGATGCATAGTTACCAGGGAAAGCAGGCAAAACCTGGGCAGGAAAGAAAGGCAGGCAGGCAGGCATGAATGGGGAATTCTGGGAATTGTAGTTCAAATAGGAACTCTGATTAGAAAGCAGCACCAAGAGAAGGTACCAAGCCAAACCCCAGTTTAGCTGGACTATAAGAAGAGAGGTCACTTAGTTAAAGGGAAATAGAAAAACTGGGCTAATGAAAACAGCAGGCAGACAGATGGGCAAGCAGTTGTCTCTTTGGATAAAGGAGCACTGATGGGAGAAACAGAGAACTAGAGTGTGGGGCACAAGTGCTGCATTAATGGTGAAATCCAGTTCTCCATGGGGGTTTTCAAGGTTACAATTGCTGGGCAAAAACGTCACTTCAGAAAAGTAATCCTGCAATACTAGAAGTAGTTACTGAGAAAGGTGCTTGCCTGCTTGCTAACCATTGGAAACATGCCTGAAAATGGGTTCTTCCTGTTTCTTACACATCCATTATGAAGTGGCTGAAAGTTATCCAGAGGATTTTGTAATGTGCATTCACCCAGAGATAATGCAAGAAAATGAACCAAGTCTTCCATTAGTAAAAATCCATCCCTCCCTTGCACAAAGATTTTGAAATGGTGTCCTTAGTATTTAAGCCCAGTACTCATTTCAACATATCTAAAAGTAAGAGTACATGAATCCAAAGTTTGCATTAGCCTTGACATATACATATGAAGCACTTGGGGGGAATTATTTAAAATTACATATTCTAGAATTCCCTAAGCCATCATAGCTGGTGACCACACTTGCCAGATAATTCTGGGAATCGTCATTCAAAAACATAACTTTTCCAAGTTCTGTCTGTCTCTCTGTCTGTGTGTAAGGAGTTGTAGTTGATAATATATTTAACTAAATGCTTCTCCATTGTGTATGTGGTATAGCAGTTCCTTTCCAAAGCACAAATGGCATGAAAACACATTAGTCCCCTTTCTACAGAAAGGCAAAGCAGACAATGATGTTAGCAACTTTTAAAATCCCACAAATATTCTCAAAGCATTTGTGACTTAAGCCAACCAACTGCTGCACAGTGGATTAGCTGCTGAAACAACTATTGAGCCAATTCAAAATAGTCAGATGGAGGAATTTGGGTTTTGGACTACAATTCCCAGAATGCCAGCTATTCTCACTCTGGAATTCTAAAACTTGTAATCTAAAAAAGCAGCTTTCCCCATCTCCGAGAGAAATTAAGTGGACAGAGATCAGATTCTAAAGCCACTAAAGGAAGAAAGGAATGGGCTTGCCAAGAGGCTCAGATTCAAAACCCAGCTCAAACCTGCACTAAGGGAAATCAGTTCCTCCAAGTTCTAAAATTCCAATGGGAAAATCAGAAGAGTGACTGTCTTCGTATAACTGAAGCACCTTGCTAGTCAGAAGCTTTAGAATGGTCAGACTGGAAGAATTCCACTATTCACATTGCTTTGCAATAACTATTCATAATCTGTATGGCAACTATTATAGCTGATCATCTGCTGCTCTGGTTCCACCTACAGTTTTCTACGGCTGTAAATGCTATGAATATAAGAGAAACATTTTACTACCTACCATACATATACAGTGCATTATATAAAAGTGGCAACTTTCGAAAGTCTGAGAGTGGGCTAAAGTGTCTAGGATCACAACTTCTGCTTCAGTAATAGTTAGTCATGTCTAAGATTGCACACTAAAACACACACTTGTAGGAGAGTAAATCCCACTACACCCACTGAGATTTACTGCACAGAATTGCATTGCATATCCCATTGAAACCTGTGGCTCAGACTAGTCAGAATCAACTTAAGGACCATCACTTTCAATGGGATTTAGCCTGCACTAACTTTAGCTGGAACAAAGCCATGGCATTTTGTGACTGTCCAAAGCAACAGTACCAGCCTAACATAACCAATGCTAGAAGTTATCCATTTTGGAAGTTATCAGTTTTATTTACCCTTTCCATTCAGATCATAAGGCTTATTTCCTAATGTGTTTATTCCCAGTTCTCTAAGCTAAGAAAAATCATTTCACTGAACTTAGTTTTCTCAATGGGCATGCTACTAAGCTCCATCCCGATGCCTTTTTAGAAGGAAAAAAAATTCTCTCCTTTGCATTTAAGACAAAAATATCGTGGCCACTTACTTGCAAATAAACTCTATTTAATATGGTGAAACTTAATTTTGAGTAAACACACAGAACACTGGGCTTCAAAATGATGTATTCTTTCATTCTTATTGTTTGCCTATTTCCAGAACACTGGAAAACAGTGCTCTCATTTGATAGATTTTTACACAGACATCAGACCTTGTTAGAATAGAATAGAATAACACTTTATTGTCATTTCATGTGCAACAAAATCACCAGAGTGATTGGTTGGTGGCATGCAGTTAAACACAGGATGCAGACTAATTTCAGGATAGAATCAGGCTGCAGTCCTATTCTGTGGAATAGAGTACATCGATAACCACATTCATCTAAATAGATGCAAATCTAAAAAGAGATGTAAAGAGCCATGCTGCACACAACTGAACTAACATTATTCTGCTACCATATAATTACCCTAAATTACCATAGTCTGTGCCACAAGCACCTATTGTGGAAGACCGGCTCCAGTCCTCACAGGCATGCTATGCAAACCTAGGTTTTGTTTCCACTTGCTGTACCTTGGTTTTTTAAATGAAAAAAAATGTTTAACAAGGTTATGTCTTATTCAGATGTGGAAAGAAACAAGAACAGGTTAATAAATACTCAGGTGTCCTACCTGAATTCAGGAAGGAGGTTTGGTTGCAAACCATAAAAAGCTGCAGAAAGGGTGACCAACCAGGTAGGTTTGTAATTTCCATTCTCACACTCCAGGTATGGAGAGGACCATTTAATGTGGCTCTTCTCCACAGGGTGGGCATCCTTCTTTTTCAAGTTGCTCTCCAAAGCCTTTGAACCAGGACCAGAGGCCTTCCGGTGCTGGTGCAGCCTCCACTTGCGCTTCAAACTGTGAAACCATTCCATGTCCCCAGAGGAAGCATTGGCCAGGTGGTGTGCCACCGAAGACAAGTCCTGCAGCAGGATCTGGCTGTCCTGACGGCTGGCTTGGAGGAAGACCTGAGGAGCAGAGGACAAGGGCTCCGGATTGAAAGTGATGGCAGCCCTGGAGATATTGGGATCCCCTTCCAACAGGCTTCGGATCAGCACTTGGTACCACTCAATGTCCTCCTGCAACTTCTGTTCCCGGGATTTATTGCTCTGCAGAATCATGTTGAGAAAGTTGGTGGCATGCAGTAAAGTGTCCAGAGCACCATGCAGGGATGGGTGGGAAGCCAGCAGACGAGACTTCCCAGCCCAGCTGGCCAGCTCATATCTTCCAGAACAGTTGGCACGCTTCAGCTCCCGAGAATCACCAGTGTAGAGAAAAGAAATGACACTGGGGGGCACCTCCTGGGTCAACCTCTGTGCCAAGATGGTACCCTCCTCCTCCTCCTTCTCCTCGAGGAGAGATCTGCTCCGAGGAGAGGAAGGGACAGGTCCACTCTTGGCATGACTGTAAATAGACAGTTTGGCTTTCATAGCTTTCCCTTTGCTAGGCATTGCCCGCTCTTGGTTGGCATCAACCACACACTCCAGATGAGGCATGAAGAACAGGATGGGGAGCAGCAAGCCCAGGATGGGGAGTGGCAAACCCATGTCCTTCACTTGGGCAGGGGGAACCCAAGCCTGTGTCAGTCTGCCCAGCCCAACCTGACCAAGCCCACTTGCAAAAAAAGAGAGTGTGAGATTACTGATGCATCCCCAGCACTCTCCACCCCCACAAAAAAAAACCAACTCCAAAACCAAGCACCCCAACCCACCCCCTCTCGGAGCAGGAAGCAAAGTGCAGGCGGTTGGGTGAATCCGGATCACCTGTAGCGAGCGATGCTTCTGCCAGGTCTGTGTCTCCGGGAATCACGCAGTCTGCGCCTTGTCTAAGTGTGGAGGTTACATCCCTTCTGGCGGCAGGGAGCTGCTATAGTTAGCCTGCTTACGTGGTGGTGGTGGTGGTTGGGTGTTGTTGTTTCTCCCCCATTCGCCGCTGACAGCGCTTTCGGAAAAAAAAAGGTATTTAGAGCTGCCTGGAGGTCCTCCCTTGGCTGCTGCTGCTGCTCCTGCCGCCGCCGCCGCCGCCGCCGCCGCCGCTCCATCATTCGGCCAAACCGGCGCCTTCTCCCGCCGCCGGGCAAACGCACCCGCAACGCCCGGATC